ATCCAATATTAAACTTAATTTTTTCTGAATTAAGGTATTTTCTGTTATATCACCAACGACTTTAATAAAAAACAAATCTCTTTAATCAATGGAGACTCTAAATTAAGAAATCAACATATAATTACCCAAGTGAAGCCAAGAAAGTACAAATTCTGTTGTTCATACACTTTATTTTATATTTTCAGTACACAGACTAACAACAACATTAGGTTATACTTTTGTTGCTAAGCAACATGACATAATGTCCATTATTGAAATTCATTGTTACCAAAATGCACTGGCTTTTCAATATATATATATATATTAGAAGTTGTTAATCTAACTGATATATGTGGTTGTAGTACTTGCCTTGTCATTTTTGATGAGCTATACGTGGGGTGGTTGTATTTGCCTCGTCATTTTTGATGGGCTATACTTCTATAATAAAAGAGCATGTCTACTTGTCTGTCTGTGATTTCTACTTGTAGTATAAGGAACCACTTCTTTTCTATGTGTTTTTTTGCTAACTTGCCTTATTTAAAAGATGCACATGCGTGCATGCACGTGGTTAAGATAAGTAATAACATGCAGAGTCCAGTTAGTATGAGTGCAAAATTTCAGGTTTCTAGGTTCTTTCCTCTTGGAGCTATGGTGGTCATACACACACACACACAGACATGCCCTTTTATTATTATAGATAAAGGATATGCAGAAAGCTGGAAACAAGTGAATCCCAGAACTGTTTGAAGCCACTTGAAAGAGATAAAAGTCTACAGCCTGAAAGCTTAATATTTCATGGATGAATATGATCAAACATTTAAACTTTGCAAAGTATCATAAGAAATGAATGAGACAAAATGATTGATAGACAAAATATAGAGTGATCTTTTTGAAAACTAGGCAAGTTGGCTAAAACAAAACAATGAAACATGGTGGTGAGTGTATAATGATATTTTTGTTTCATGAGTGAGAGATATTTTCAGAATATATGGTATATTTGAAAAATTCAGTTATTCCAACATCACAGATAAATAATAATAAAGTCTGGAGACAGCTTGAATGGTTAATGAATAAAATTTTGTTATACGTTTAACAGGTAATAAATGTAAACCTTTGCCAAAATGACATACAAGTGATATTACGTTAAACTTTAATAAACTTTTATTCATTATCAATTCAAGCCATCTCCAGACTTTATTAGACTCATAGTGGATTTCTCATCATCAAATTATAGATAGTTGTCACTCAGTACCAAATGAATGACATTTAATTGTCCATGGTATTTACTTTCAGCAATATAATGATAGAAAATGCATTGCTTTGCTGGAAAAAAAAAAGCAAATGAGGTGACATAAAAGATACAGAAAAACCATCTAAACTCCTAATGCTAATTCAATAAAATTTGCAATACCATTTGAAAAGTAGTGTTACAAAAGAAATGTCAACAAACTACAGCAAAGTTTGGTAATGTACAATAAAACTGAAATGAAATATCAGTTAACAGTTCCAAAAAACTGGCAGCACCCATGTTTGATCAATGGTGTATTATTCAGTTCACTGATATCCAGCAGTTAAGTTAAAATTATCTGCAAAATGCAAGTTCGGGAAATATTATGCAGAAAATAAATTGATTTTCGACAACAAAGAAAAGAAACAAACAAACACAGGTGAAGAAATGAACAAAATATTTATTCATAATTATTGTACATAGTGTCTATATACCAGATTGGCTAGCTTCTTTGCTCTGTAGAGAGACTGTACTGGCTGCTGAGAATGAGAGGAATCATTCTTTAAAACATCCACATAGGACAAGCACAAGAATAATTCTGATTAACTACTCAATTTCAGAGGAAAATCTAAAATGTTTTATACAAGAATCTAATGCTGTATATGTAATCATTTATATCACATAGCATTTACAGAGGAGAAAAAAACAAGCTCATACCAATTTTCATAAATGTTTGTGTCGCCCCTTGAGATGGACTCATCCCTCCTCAGAGGGATGGACAAACTCAAGGCCAAAGTCATACCAGTATGTTTAGAGCCTTTTGACATTTGGTTAACAACATACTACAGGTAGATCACCAATATAAAAAGTTTAAAAAATTATATGAATATATATGAACAAAAGTGCATTTTATACAAACTATGGAAGGCTGAAATCCATGATTATTTCAGTCATTATACAATTGTAGTATGCAGTTTTACTAATGTCTAACAGCTAAATATTATGTATTGCAAAAACATATGTTCCTGGAAAACGAATACCACAACTGGTACAACAAAGTCAAAAACAGTTTATTGACAATATGCAGCATCACAAAAGTAACTAATATTATTATGGTTGTTCTAGATTACACTGGACACCAAAGAATTTGCTACTGGAGATAACTCAGGTGATTCAGGGTCATTAGATGGTGCTGATTTCAAAAATGTAGTCAAATTTGTTCACCTCCTCTAGATTTTGAGTTATTGTAATATCTCAATACTTTATCAGCATTATATGAAAGACCATGCAATCAACTCAGTACAATAGGTTTATGCTATGAAATTAAGTTTACTTGGACAGTTTAATAGATAAAAGGCATACATTTTTGATAACTTCAAACACTGATTGGATTGTATTGATGTAAAGTTCCAAATATATTGTCCATATATGCTATTTGTTCTCCATATAACTGTAGCAAATTGCACCACTTTTGCTTCATTCCCATCCTCACCTGCTCTGCCTGGAAATCATAAAACCCTTACATGCTCAGTTTGCTAGAATATTCGAGAAGTCCCACAACTGAGCATAAAAGGGGCAGAGTCAGATGCTTCTCTCTGAGTTGCTTCTCAATCACTCAGTTGGTCACTTCCCCTCATTCCATGCACAGTCAAAGTCCAGTTTTTTTCCTCACATCATACCCATCATATAATCAGATTTTGCAAAACTTTGTTTCTTAAAATATTTTAAACTCTAGTTCTGTAAACATAAATTATTTTATTTTTTAGAAAATAATTTGAAATGCTGGCTGCCTCCAGTTCAAATAAAGTCTGAAAGTGCAAAAATTATCCAAACAATTTTTACTACAACTGTGGAAAATATATTACAGTTTCATGAAGGAAAAACATCACACACACACAAGGTAAAGTTATTTTAGGTGTAAAATTGGGGACCAAGAAAAACATTGGGCTCTACATTTGTGTTTTACAGTTTGGACAGTGGCTGAATAAAAAGAGAGCAAGTATGCCAGTTACAGTTCCCATGATGTGACATGAGCCCAAAGATAATCTAACTGACTGTTATTTTTACATGACTAATGTATCTGGATATTCAGGCACAACTAAAGAATAAATTAAATATCAAGATAGTCCATCTGCAATGAAACCAGTACCTCATAGGATGGTCTTCCAGTGACACATACACCAGCAAATTGAGAAACAGAGGGTTATCCAGTGAAGAAGGCAAGGAATCACTTCCATCCTCTTCATTAATAATCTATTCCTGTGGCACCTCAACATAAACTACCTCATCTGGTCACAGCAAAAGAGCTAAATGATCTGATTCATGAATTGCCTCTATCAAAGCAGCATGGGGAACTTCTTGGTTCTCGTTTACAGCAATGGAATATATTAGCTCCAGGAACAAGAATTTCAATTTACTGAAGTTGCCATCAAAGTCTTGCTTCTCACTACAGCATGGAAGATACTTTGTGTTTTTGTACAGATGTTGATGCACTAATGAAAGAATTAGGTACTGAACATCATTCTCAGGAATGGAGGCTTTTTATCAACTCATCTAAAGTTAGCCTGAAACCTGTACTTTTGTACAATGCGAACACTAAGCCACTGATTCCTGTTGTTCATGCTGTGAACATGAAGGAAACTTGTCACTAAAGATGCACTTCTTACACTCCCATTTAGACTTCTTTCCAAATGATATAGGTGTAGTGAATGATTAGCATGGTATGCACTTCCACCAAGATATTTCTACAATGAAACAGCAATATCAAGGACAATGGAATTCTGCTATGTTAGGAGATTACTGTCGGTTTTACAGCCTGAAACTGAGAACATACATAAAAGGTGCAACAAGTCAAGCAGATATTTTGTAACAAAAAACAAAAACTAATACCATGATGAAAGTTTTGAACATAGCCTGAATGTATTTTCAGTTTATATCTTATGATACTTATTGATTTTTTTAAACTGGTATTGCTATGATGTATTGTTTTTGAAAATTCTTAAATGCAATTTTCAATGAATAAATAGTTATTAAAGAAAAAAAAGTTATTTTCATGATATATAAGAATATTTTGAATAAATCACTTATAACTCGAAAACTATAAATGATCAGTAATTCTCAACATGATCTTTAGAATCAGCATCGTCAGATTACTCAGAAACAGTTAAATGTTTTCTAGTAGCAGAGAAAATTTTGTTCTTGTTGTTACCCAGTGTTATCTGAAGTTTGAAACTACAATGAACAAGATCTTGCTGCACTTTGGATATATTTCATTTCTCAGCTTCACAATTCTTCAATTAATCCTTACTATGATCTTGATTTAACAAATGGGTATTACAATTACTGGAATTAACAAGATTCATGTCCATTCATGTAAATCACCTAGTTCTAACCACTTCCAAAACATAATTCAAAGAGTGGCCACCCAAAGCAACTACGTAGGAATGCATGAATGGTTCAAAACAGACATTCAATCAGGATTAAGGAGTTCCTAGGGTTATACTTAAATTTGCTGATGATAATAAGGTCTTGGGTGTTGCAAACTGTGAAGAGGATGCTGCTGCTTTACAAAAGGATTTAGATCATTTAGTAAGTTGGGCAAATAAATGGCACATGGGTTTTAATTGTTATAAATGTAAGATAATGCATGTGGGTTATCATAATTTGAATTGTAAATATAATTTGGATGAGAATAACCTTAACAGTGTCATGAAAGATAGGGATCTTGGTGTAATGGTTGATCAGTCTCTTAAGCCATCCAAGCATTGTGCTGTCACTAGTGGTAGGGTAAATAGGGTTTTAGGTTGTGTCTACAGAAATATTGAAGACAAGTCTATTTAGGTTATAATAATTTCATTGTATAGGTCCCTGGTTAGACCACATTTGGAGTATTGTGTTCATTCAGCCTTGGGTTTCTTATCTTAGGAAGGACATTGAATTGTTGGAAGGAGTTCAGAGGAGGGCTACTAGAATGGTGCCTGGGATGGAGGGGTTGTCATATGATGAAAAGTTAAGATCTGAGAAATTGTTTTCTCTTGAAAGGGGATCTGATTGAGGTTTTCAAGATTGTAAAGGGAATTGATAGTGTTAATGCATCATCTTTTTTCATACTTAACAGTGAGAAGAGTAAGACTAGGGGACTTAAATATATGTTTTGGCAAGATAGGAGTCATTTTAAGCTAAGACAGTTTTATTTTTCTATCAGGGAGGTTGGCCTCTGGAATGGGTTGCCTTTGGATGTTGTCGAGGCAGTGAATTTAAGTGCATTTTAGAGACAGTTTGATAACTATATGAATAATAAGGGTTGGCTTTACGAATTTTTTTAAAATTTATTTGTCTAATAGTTTTAGTTTAGTTTAGAGGATGGAATGGCTGAGATGTTATAGCCTATAGTTCAAACCAAAATAAGTGCAGAACACCTGAACACCATTTTGAAAAATTTACCAATATATATATATACATAAGTAAAGATATTTTTGTTTCTTAAGTTATGAAATGGTTGCAAGTATAATATTCACATATTTTACATAGATAAGGTTAGCTAAGCAGCTATTAAATGCTGACTATTTAATTTTTTATACACCAAGTTAAGTTTTTCAGCTTAATACTGTAACACTAAGTTTTAGTAGTTGAATAAGGAAAAAATAAAATAAAAACACTCTAAGAACCAAGTAACACTTTATATATAGCCTAACTTGTTCATACAGATAAAAATCTAGTTTAAATCTCACACATTACTTTTATAGTTCAAATTAAGTTTTGTATGAAGATCTGTGATATATATATATATATATTAAAAAGTGCAATATATTGTAAAATACAAGAATGTCTGCACTAGTATTATAAAATACTGTCACAAGTTGGATGGATTATTATGCCTTCTAAATAATTAGTTTTTTTAATGTAAGGTGTCAAAAGTAAATAAAGCTGTTAAAGGCTTTACTTACTATTATACAACAAAAACAATCATGAAACTCACCAGCTCTCGATTCAGAGAAACAGTTCCATCTAACATGCTAGCCTTAAAATATGAAGAATCATAAGCAGCAAATCTGACATCAGTAATTGGAGGCTTTTCTTGTTTGGGATACACAGTGAATATATTTACATTTCCTCTATTGATTCCTAAAAGCTCAGCTATCACCTCTCGAAATTTATCGTATTTACTTTGCACAACGGAGTAGTTTTTCCAACTTAAAATTCTAACAAAATCTTCAGCCGAAGTACCTGGAGCAAGAGGAATATTTATTAAGATTAAATGTATTATAAAACATTCACTGACAATTTTATTTACTTAAATATTCCTTTGAACACTTATAGGGCTCTAAAATATATAAAAAATATATTTATGTAGTTATCATATTAGAGCAGGTAAACTAAAATAATTGATAAACAATTCAATCGTAAAGGTATATAAAATACTAATCACATGAAGTTACAGTGCAATAAAAACTTAATACTACAAAGGAATAATTAAAATAATTGTAAAGGAAAGAGAAATAAGTAGTGATCTTTTTGTTCAAATGGCCTTCACAGGGACCACAGCAAGAATGCTATTTACTTTAACTGTATTTTTGTAAAATAAATTTGACAGAGTAAAATAAATATTAACATCTGTCTATCTAGCCTTATATAACTATGATCTTGCATTAGTTTTCACCTAGATTATATCTGATTAATAGGAAAATATTTGCAAATGGCCAATACATGCACAAACTCCAATAGATTTAAAAATTTCAATAATAAAACTTTTTTCAATGATGTTAATCACAAATTTATAAACAGACACACCCATAATTAAACTCTGACAAAATAATATGAATTCTGATATCACCATTCTATGGATTTACCATGAATTCTAATGGAACCAGAATTGTAAATTGCTTCTTCCGGTATTTCTTGCACTGTGACATTAACAGTGGCTTTCACTTCTTTTCCATGCTTGTGGTCAAACACACTGAAGCTCAAGAAGGCACTAGTCCCTGATGTGATATTCTTCATTGTTATGACACCTGAATGTTGGTCAAGCTCAAAGTTTGGGTGGGGAACATTGTTTTCCCAAGCAAACACCTTGTCAGGAAGGTCCCAGTCATCTAGGTCTTCAACATGTACCCTTCCCACAGATGTTGGAGGGATTGCACCTGATGTTTATTATAAATTTATCCTCATTACTAATATTTATGATAATTTCAAAACACCTATGTTATATAAAAGAAACCTGATAATCTGAGGTGCTTTCTGATGTTGGATTCCTTCCCAGTTGCCCAGATGAGTGATTACATGAATGAATTTGTTTTCAATAAACAGAGTGACATCTGGCAAACAGAAGCAAAATGCATAACAGCTTTGTTTATGCACAATTTCAACACTGTACACTAGTAAATTTAAAGGAGCATTTGTTAAACATTTGTAACCTGCAGACACATAAAATGGTTGTAAGTTACTGTAGAAATTGTACGACTTATTTATCAAATTGCAGCTGTTGAAAGTAAGTAATGGGTGATCACTTGCTTTGTGTAACAACTGTTACATAAATTATGATAATATTTTTAACTAAATGCCTAAATTTTCACGACAGATGTAACATATTCTTCCTAGAAAAAGACAGTTTTAATTAAACAAATGAAACTGGGATACTGAGAGAGCATGTACATACTGTAAATTGTAATAGCCATAAAAAGAAATATTCATTTTTCTGTAATAAATAGTACTTTTCTTTTTCCTGTTTCTTTACATTAGATTATTATCTTAAACAAAACACTTTATTTCCAAAACAAAGTTTAGAAAAATAATGTCTGTTTACCACTTTAGAAAGGGAATGTTTTAGTTGAAAGCTGAAACTTTTCTTTCTTTTCATCAGTATTTCCAAAGAATACATCCAAGGTATATGAGCAGCATTATAGCAATGTGCAACACAAACTACCCAAGTTATATCCAATTCTCTTTATTAATAACTATTGTTTGGATTTTCATTTCTAGACTTGAAATAAAGAGTTGCAAGTACTGTCCTTTCAATCTTCAATAAGCTTGAAATACTTCAAAGATCCCCCCTAACAAGAGCACTACCACTGGAACCCTTTGACAGTCTAGTCAGCCCTAACCTCCCCAGAATGCTATGGTTGACACACAGAGTTGGATATGGCCCTGAACAGTAAACACACCTACTTTTCCTGCACAATTCACCAACAATAGAGGAAGGTCTACTCTTCAAAAGCACTCAAGTTATTGGGTTTCTTGCACTGAAATATGTCTATATTATTGAAAAATACTGTACCCACAAATAAAAACCACTTAAAACAAAACCGATGATCAATAACTTGACAAAACTACTTTAAGCAAAAATAAATCACTCTTAACTCAATAATGCAAGTTTCACCTATTAAATATGAATTTTATAAATTTATGCAATAACATTCAAAAATAAGCACACATTATGGAAAAATAGGTTTAAAACATGCCTTAGTCAATATTGTGGATTTTAACAAAATAATAATGAAAATCTTAACTTACAATTACCTTACACAAAACAAACCTTTGATGCTATACACCAAAACATCCTTATGACCAGGAAACATTAAATTGTCATTCTCATCTCCAATAATTACAGTCAATGTGCTAGTTCCTGTTTTTGGTGGAAACCCACTATCCTTGATAACAATGGGTACATGATATTCCTTTTTCTTTTCTCGATCAAATTCCACAAGTGCAGTGACTATTGCCATACTGTCACCATTGCCTCCCTCTGAAATGATTATCAATGTATCACACATTATGGTTAAATGTTAATGTTTTAAAACATTTTCATTTCACACATTAACTGTGGTATATATGATAGTGCATTTTTTTTTGTTACTATAGCACTTGTCAAACACAACCAGCAAAGTGTTTTAAAGATATTAGGAAATAAATTATAGCTTCTACTTATTTTAAAAGTGACAGACTTATTACAAGAGAAAAGGATCTGGATTGAAAACCCTTAAAGTAAACATATGATTATAATACATCAGTCTAATTTCCCATTATCCATTTGATACTTCATGTGAGGTACTCTCAGAAAAACTGAACCAAAAGATTAAACATTAAGTTATTACAGCAGGAAGTTCCAAGAATTTATATGCAGAGTATAGATAAGTCAAACTCAAACAAAAAAAAAACCAAAACAGATCAGACACAATTGTTTCAATGTTAAATAGAATGTTAAGTATCACACAGAAATGTAAAAAACAAAATCAGTGATTAGCAGTAGTAACAATAATCTATTTCAATGTATCTTTGCAGTATCATATTAGAATCCATGCAAAATTTGAACATTAAGGTATCAAAATGTACCATATTTAAAAAAACATCAAATTGAACTTAACTATCAAATTTTATGAAGTCTGATGAATAGTTGACACTAAAAACGTAAAAAGCTGAAATTATCGAATTTTGTTTTAATTTGATGTTTTGTTTTTTAAAATATACAATACATTTTGAATACCTATTTGTGTGTATCACTAACTTTTTGTGTGTGTTAACAGTAATACACAAAAGTTTTAGAAGCTTATGAGGCAATCACTGATTATTGTGACCTATAAATAACTCTACTTAGGACAGTGTTCATTCTTAAGATTCAATAGAATTTTCCAGAATTGCAATTTTTTTTTCATTTTAAGATAAAATTCTGGACACCCTGCTAATTCCTCTATCAGGTCTTTATATTGTGAAAAGGGTAAAGATTGTAAGACCTTCACAGAAAGCTATAAAACTGTTAAGAATTTGATTTGTTATTGAAAAAGTTGATGAATCCTGTTTTTGTTAAGCTTTTGTAGAATGTAGTTCCAGATATTGCAACTTTCTAGGCCTTGGTTTACTTTTCATTTATTGATGTTTATCCTGACAGCTTCTTTAATTTTTCTACATTTTAAGTGTTGTAGCATGTGTAATCCCAAGAAAACCATCCACACTTGGGAAACCATGGAATTATTAAAAAATTTTAAATGAGAGCAGAGAAAATCTGTGATGTCAAATGTTGAAGAAATTAAATCTATATCATCTACAAGAGCTGGCAAGCTAATGGTTACTCAAAGCAGTTCATTAAACAATCCACAAAATCTTTAAGTTGTTTTACTGATCCCCTCAGATAAACCTTTAGCTACTGTGATATGCAGGCATGCCATGTGTTTTCTACTTTTTTGTTTTACTACTGAAGTGTTTTCAAAATCAGTTATTTTAGGTATGTGAAGTCTTCAACTCCACTAATAACAACCTTCTGCTTTCTCTGATCTAGCCTTGAATAACTTGCCTAACATATATTAATACTCTAAGAGAAATGTTGTCTTACTTCTTTTTGAGTATGTTACTTGTATTACGGACAAAATATTTGCATACTACAAATATCCCGATTCCCTATTAATTTTCAATACCTTGTGTTTTCAGGTTTGAGACAACATGAAATTGACATTTCCTGATACTATTTTATTAAGTTTTAAGGTAGCCCACCTTTTCTTGTTGTAGTTAGCATAACATTAAATATAATAAAAAAGACATAGTATGAATGCTAACCATGCTGATGCTCAACCCTAAAAAAGTCTTGAATAATTTCTGGGGCTTCAGGATCCATATAAAAAGTAAAAGGTGGAACATTTCTCTTAGAATGATTATCGTCATCAGTTGCTTGGATTTCCTCCACGTTTTGAGGAGGTCTGGCATTTTCCATTATAATTGGATGATAGTCCTTGAGAAAACGAGGAGCATTATCATTGATGTCACTGACCACAATACCAAGAGTAGCAGTGGCTGTTAAAGGGGGGTTACCTTAAAAAATGAATATTTTTGATATTAAATAACTATTAGTGAGTCAAACAATAATAAAATTATTATTGATAAAAAAATGAAGGCTACTTGTATTACAAAACAAAAACTTTTTATTGAGCTAAGCATTGTGCTATAAAACATAAAATTCTCTTGTAAGATGAAAAAAAAATATTAGTGTTTATTGTAACAGTTTTAACATTCAAACTTTCTAAAATATTTCTTGATCCATATGGTTATTCCTTGTAATATTTAAAAGTACTGTTCCAATAGATTTATTATATTGTTACATCTCTGGTCTTTAGTTTGTTAATTTTCCGTAAAAATTCTTTCCGAGGAAACTTTAGCGATACAAGTCCTTTCTTAAATAAAACTAGTTTATTCTTTCTCAATACAACTTTGCAATACACTTATGCTATACAGTCACGCTATAATTTACAATGAATGACTCACGTGCTCGACCCAACTGTCTGTATCTATCTCTGTCTGCAATTCAATTACATTGTTGCCGTCACTTGTTGGCGGTCTTATATATACAAGAATACCGCAAATCTAGTAAACACTCGAGGATTCACGAACCTTCGAGAGTATGACGTGTTACTAGAGTCACGTGACCCCCGCTGTCGTCACAATATGAAGAAAGTTCACATATTAATTTTAGTAAAAGATTTATGGCACTTTGTTGCAAGCATGTTTCTATTCAGTAATATGACAGCATAAACTTTGTTTGATTAGTACCTATATTCTCTGAAACTTATTAACAGTTATCACATTATATAAAAATTATATTCACTGACAAAAAAAAACAGCAGAGCAAACACCAATTTTTGTACACAGTCTTAATAAATGGATTCTAAATTTGTAAACCACAATTTTGCAAAACAAAGGCAATAAAACATTGTGGATAAATAACTTCGCTTCCTTGATCAGTCTTAGATGCATGAGTATTTTTCCTGTATATTTTGGGCTGCAGGTGCAACACAATCTCAATGAATAATAAATTTTTGTTGAAATTACAAGTGAAAGATGGGAGATATTTTACATATTTATAATAAAAAAAATTTCCTGACCATCATCAACAGCTAGTATCTTCACTTGATGTCTTGGTGCATCTTCTCTGTCAAGTTTTCTCTGAATGCAGACCATACCATCTTTGTCTATTTTAAATTGTCTCCTCTTATCAGATGACCTATCAATGGTATAGCTTTGGAGGAATAAAAAGACAATCAAGATGATAAAAACTGTAACAGTTGCTTAGATATAACAATATTAAAATGCCTCATTTCTTTTAATGTAACATACCAAATGAATCACCTATATGATTATATATCAGAGCAAATAACGATTCAAAACCCACAGAAAACTATATCAAACATACTTGTCTTTAAGTAATTTTTCTTAATAATGAATTACTAGTAGATTAAGCTCTAATATTTTGTTTCTAAGCACCTTTTGCAAATAGTAACATAATTACGACACTCAAAACCTAACCTCACGTGAGACTGCCCTCCTTGGTCAGCATCAGTAGCAGTAAAGAATGCTAACTTGTAACCAATTTCAGCATCCTCTGATACTGAAACTTCAATATTGGAATGTTCAAACTTTGGCTTGTTGTCATTGATGTCCTTAAGTTTTACTTGAACCTTGGCATAATCTATGTGATGGGGTTCAGAGGACCCTTTCCCATGGTCACTCACTTGGATGGTTATGTTGAAACCAAACCTCTGCTGCATGTCTTCATAGTCCAAAGACTAAGAGATATCAAAGGAAGTTATTTTATACAGTTTTGCGATATATTATACTATAAGATATAATTATAAAAAAAAAGTACCTATTTTTAAAACAGTATATTAGACAACAGAATTAATGTAGAAAGCTGGCACAACCTTATTAAAATGAAAAGATTTAAAAACACACCAACTAAACAATTAAGATGTGACAGCCTAACATTTAGACTGTGACAGAAGTGTTTTTCAAGGGACTGACTCATCCAGTATTAAATATATATGTTTCACCATAGATAGTAAAGAGACTATATACCTGCTCAAGGAGCCATTATTTTTAATTCTTTTGAGCTTCTGCTTTTTGAAGTAATTTCATTGTAATATCTTTGAAATGTTATTTCAAAAAGCCAAATGTCAACTGATTAAAAACTCAGTTTAAATTTGCCCTTACCTTAGTAATTAAACAACCATGTATTAAGCTAAAGTAAGTACGTTATTTCAACAATATCAAATTTATTATGCTCAGTCTATTTGTTAAATCCTATACATAAGCATTATCAGATTATATTCAGTATGACACTTCAGTTCATTAAATGTTTCTTACCTTTGCTACTCTGAGTGAACCAGTGCCATCAGAATTGGTTACCATTGTGAATCTATCTGCACCAAAAGCATTGTCAATCACTTTGTAACTGAACTGATTAGTTTCTAACAAGTCTTTATCATTGATGGAAACTACCAAAATTGGTGTCTCAGGAATGTTATCACCTTCTGTTTCATCAACATGAACAAACCAAATTTTCTTAGTGAACTCTGGGGGCATGTCATTAATGTCCTTTATCTTAATAGTAGCCGTGCCAGTACCTGAATAAATGAATAGAAAAATAAAATTTAGCAAGGATCTATGAAAGATAGAACTATTATCACCTTAGCTTTACCTAATTATTAAGATTTATTAAGGGAAATTTCTCTGCCTCAAACACATATTTTATCTGTAACAACAATAATTTTGCCAACCTTCTTAAATGACTTCAATAGCCCAAATTATAGAACCAAACGGAAGACAAAATCTTATTTTCTACTAATTATTAGTACCAATAAAAGTGCTTATGTACATACATAAGAATATTTATCAATAGTCTGGAATGTTTCATTGATATGCAGTCATAAAATAACATTATAGATGATCAGGAGCCATTAGCTTTACTAATAGCAACAGAACACTGCTTTGATGGCTTAAGTGACTTATCTACCACATTATCCAGTGGGTTCCTGTGAAAATATTAAAAATGTGATTCAATTTATGAGAACCCAAATGCATTACCTTAAATTTATTACAATTAAAGGCTATTGCAAATTATTTTTCAAACTTACCATTTGATCCAAATCATTTTGCAGTGCTTCAATATCCTCAATACAATTATAAGTACCCAGCAAACTTTCATCAACAAACTGTATTAATATACTAATTATGCCCATATCAATATTATTAATGTAACTAAGAAAAAGTGAAGGACTAAGCACTAACCTCTGAGGCACATCACTAATAAAAAAAAGTTTAGTTTGACTGGATTCTAATAATAACAACCTTCTGTTTTCTTCAATTCAACCACCATATAATTCAACTAAACATTATTTTCCCAACCACTAATAATGTGATTTTCTTAACTACTATACTAAATTCACACTCTTTCCATCATCCAGATAACAATTAACATACTCATAAAGAAGCAAGACAATATTTAGGGTTAAAGTATTCTGCTGGCTCTCTTATATTATATCATATTTCGTTAAATTATCTTTTAAAGCTTCTGTAATAGTAGAGTCTAATAAAGACTCTCTTGAATTTTTACCACTACAGAAATATGACTAACTGGCATATAATTTCTAGGACAACTCTTATCCCCTTCTTTAGCAACAAAAAAAAGAGTAACATTAGCAACATTATCAATTCTACAATCCTCAGGCTCCTGTTGGCTATCCATTAACCTACTATGAATGAAAGAGGGAGGCTCGTATATGGGGTTTTTGACCTCCTATAAAACTCTTCAGCAAAACTGTTCCTAGTATTCTATTTAAGTCTTGCAATCTTTTCAATTATGATCATGGTAGTAATACCTACACAATTTAGATTAATTCCAATATTTCACAAGAATGCTTAGAAGCTGGAATATTGATAACATCCTATCCTCTTTTGTAAAAACAGATGAAAAAAAAAGGATAATTTAAAAGCTCAGTTCTTTCATAGTCCTCTACAAAAACCTAGCCATCAGGCATCTTTTAAGAGCTCAATCCCCATTTTACCAACTTTCTTACCTCTAAGATACTTTGAAATAATCCTTGCTGTTTAATTACTTTTAATGTGATCAGCTACCTGTTTGTCACAAGCCATTTTTGACATCCTTATTTATTTTTTAATCAATCTCTAGATTTCCTATAGTTCTATAAGTATTCTATCATACCTGTCCATTTAAGCTTCTTCAACTTAAAGTATTCACTCATGATTTTCTCCTTTATATCCATAGTTAGGCAATAAAATTTGATCTTCCCTGTTGTCACTTTTTTTTTTACTGTTAGGAAGATATCTGTCCTCAATTAAAAACAATTTATTATAAAAAAATGTTCCAGGTCTGTCTCACCTCATCTTTTAACACACTACCCTAATTCACTAATGATAAATCTTGTTTCATGGTTTCAAAATGGGATTACAGAAAATTAGTAACTATTTTTTTATCTTATGTAGTGAAAACTCCAATTTAATTAAGCAATAACTCTTTTTTTACTTCAGCTCTTGTAACCACACATTAATCAGTTGCTAAAAATAAATTTAAAATAGCATTTCCTCTTGTTGGCTTCCTGACCATTTGATATACATGTAAAGAACCATTCCAAATCACTTCAAAAAACATATCCCCTTCAGTTCCATACAGTTTCAATCAGTATGTCTAAAATTAATCCTTATTAGTAATAACCTTGATTTTATTATACAATTTCTCATTGACATCATCTATCAGATCAGGTGGCTTATTACAAGTGCAAATTTATAGCTTCCCACCATTGAAACCCCTTACTGTATCTCATATATATTCAATAACTTCACTACCATTATTTATGTCTTCAGTACAAAAGGTTGCAGTCAATCCCTTATATAAAGAACCACTCCACTTCTCTTTTCAAAAAGTCTATTTCTATTAAATACATTATCTACTTGGAATTTCAAAATAATTCCTGCTATTAGTGTTCTTCAAATTTAACCAAGTTTCACTAATTTCCAATATAACATTATCTTCCATTTCAAATTGAATCATGAATTAATGCATTTTGTTCTTATTACTCCTAACATTAGAATAAGAACAATTAAACTTATTCTTAAATCAACTATGTTTAATGTTAAATCTAACAGACTTATCTTTAAAACTATATTTTAACTTGCTATACTTTAAATCTTTATCCAATTTCTTCTTTGCCTATCCATCCTAACAACTTACTTTGCTCCCAAATTCCCAAACCACCTCATCAAGTAGGTTAAACTACTGTTAATTAAATTTGTTAAAATTTTCCAAGATATTCTACTGCTAAGTTTCTTAATTGAGCCTATCACTGCATACAATTCACCTTAACCCAGAAAACCAATTCACAAGTTTACAGCCCATCTGTTGCTCTAAGAATATCCCTGATAATTCTTCATTTAAGTCATGGTCCTTGCTAAGTATTTAACTCCTGCACCTAGTCTCATAAAGCACTGTCCAAAGAGCCACACATCAATTTCTAACCTTAAACCTCTGAATGAGTTATTTATTGTTTTTTAGACAGCTCTTCTGATTTACAATTTCCAACACTATTCATTCCTATAAGCAGTGCAAAAACAAAATGGTCCTTGGTACCAGCAACAAAACTGCCAACAAACTCTATAATATCCTATTCTTAATCACTTAGCAAGCAAATTCTGGTCCTGGAGTTTATATGCTTCCCACAAGTAACTTTATCAATATGATTAATGAGGGAGTTCCAACTATGTAAAGCTGTTGATTACTTTACTCAGTGCAAATAGTTAAAGGTTCAAAATTTTGAGAAATGTTAATTGAATTTGCCTCTTATAGTCTTACATTTTTTACTACCATGCACCCTTATAAACACAAGTAAACATCAGTCAAGAAATGACAAGAACTTCACTTTTAATGCAAAGACTATTCAAGAATTAAACATTTGCTTTGAAGAAAGATTTAAATGAGCTGAGGATAATTACTATAGAAATAGATTAATCTTTAATTTTTGTTCCTTAAAATATACTTGCACTGAATAAATTTGTATAAAGTGTTACAAATGTCAGAAAATACTACATTGTTTATAAAGCATTACAATAATTTTCTCAAACAATACATCATTTGCAAGTAGGCAGAAACAGTCAATTAGTACTTCAAACATTATTATCTTCTTCCATGTTTACCTACTGAAGATCTTTACCTTTCAATCCTCCTCCATCTGTAGCAACCACTTTGATAATATACTCTGGATTAGTCTCTCTGTCTAAACAGCAAACAGCAGTTGATATCACACCATTTTGTGGCTCTATGCTGAAAATCAGCTCCCCATGTGCACTGACTTGATTTTGTTCAATTGAATATGTGAGTCTTGCATTACTTGCTTCCTCAGGATCATCATAATCTGTAGCTGTCATTGTCATCACAGTCATTCCTAGGATAATCAAAAATAAGCACTATTCTAATCACTGTTAGAAATTACCATCACTGTCTCTCTTGAATATAAACTACAAGGTTGAAATGAGTTTATTTAGAATCCTGTGAAAAATCTTGGAAACATTTATTACCTTCTATTTGACTTTTCAAAAAACTGATACTTGGAATTACTAATCAGATTTCTTTCAAATAGGTGAAAAGACTAGTTACTTGTGAATTTTCGAGATTTTAGCACCTAAAACTTAATAGCAAATACAATAATATAATTCAAAGTATTACAAACTTCACAATGTATTCCAGTCCGTGAGATAAAGAATTATTTGGTTGCTCGGTTTCCATTTAAAGTTTAAAATAGGGAAACCAAGAAATAAAGTTACAATTTATAATATTACTTCTACTCTGAATAAAAATCAACATGATATAAATTCACCAGTAAGCTCAAAATCAGGATTCTGAAGAATAACAAGCATTGTACATGCTATTATAATAACATATTACCAAGCACAAAACTACATAAACACACACAAACAAATGAGAGTTTTTATCTACCTCAAAACTTGACAAGTGGAAAAAGAAAAAATTAATAGTAAGTAGAAATATGTTATATTAGATTTTATTGTCGTGTACAGTTGTAAATGTTTGTAAAAGTCTCCTGCTACCACATTTTATGAACAAATATGATGACTGATCATATTGTTACGTCTCCGTTCGTTAGTTAATTTTTCCGTAAATTCTTTTCGACTAAACTTTAGCGACACAAGTCCTTTCTTAAATAAAACTGGTTTATTCTTTCCGAATACAACTTTACGATACACTTAATTTCAACAGTCAATCTATAACAAACGCGCTAACTCACGACTCACGTAGCCAACAATATTCTGTCCGCATACATTCAATTACTCATTACACTGTTGTTCTGTCACATTGTGGCCGTCTTATATATATACCAGACT